CTATGAGCCCTAAAAACCCCATAAACCCTATAAACCCTCTATATACAGCAACCCCAAGCCCCTCAGCCCTAGAAATCCTAAACTGCATAATTAGAATTGCAACAGGGTCTAAAATACCTCCTGATACATATGGGGCCATATATACATTCGAAGGGGTAGAACAATTCTAGAGACTACAAAGTAACAACACCCTATGGAGCCTTCGTCAGCCTGCATAACTGCTGAAAGCGTGGCAAACGAAACACCAGCGAAGACGCCGGCTGTTCCAGCACATAGGATCCCCCGCAAGCTTCGATGAGATAAAAGGCCATAATCATCCTGGTAGGGCACCCAAGAAGAACAGGATTGGATTTCAGAGTGGACCCCAATCAATATACGTATTGGTTGTATATCCCCCAGATGTCCTTGAAGCTAACAGGTTCCCCATCGCAACAGATGGGGCAGCTTCATTGCCCAAAGGCAAAAAGAAATGCCGCATGGTGCTGCCTCTTGATACTGCCACAAAGGAACTGCAAACTAGACCAAACGCAACCACGAAGGGCCCACGACAGCGTAAGATGCTCGAGAGCAACAACCTGAAGCTTTGAGGATCTTCTTTCCGGGTCACAAGTACACAAGGCTTCCACTCAGACAGCAAAGAAGCTCTAAGCTAAGAAAAGCCCATCATTATGATATGCTGATGATGCAAAGTAACGCGAACCCCGCTGGCCCACAAAGATCAAGACCATTACCACACTTTAGTGGCCGCCCTGCTTTGGCCCTCTTCTCAGAATATGACTTCCAATTGACAATGTCCATGCTTGCCACCGCCAGGCCCAAGTCACGTACAGAGTCGGAAAGCACCTCCTGGCCGGAGAACACTTCGATGCAGTCGTAGACCTGGAGAGCGCAGTTGTGTTTCAATATGGGCCAATGTTTTGGGTGATCTCGTGTTCTGTGGTAGGACTGGGTATTTAGTTTAGCTAATTCTGGGGTGACACCACATTTACATGACCTGATAGCTGGCAACCCCTGCCTGATCCCACTGCAGCCCATCCGTGTGGGCAAGGAGGATGACCATGAGCATAAGAACCTGGGGACGTAGAGTTATGAGGTACGTATTCTACCAGGGAATACAGAGGCCAAGTGGTTCATGTTGGGCATCTAGAAAAGGAAACCAAAGTCTTCCGGTAGGTTTTCAATAAGCAAGAAACGGCCGGAGCCCCAATACTCCACAGTCGATGCAGCACATGTTGCAGACGCTTCTCAGGCATCGCCATTGCGCTAACCCTTTCAAGGTCCAGAGCTCATGAACAAAACTGCTTCCCATTCAACATCTCCTGTATACACCTTCCCCTACCCCAAGCTCACAGCGCAAGTACAATCCAGATCAGAATGCCAAGGGTAAGGGCGC